TATGGCGATAAAGTACATACGGCTGCAGGTCATCTGATCGGAAGATAGGTGGTTTCGACAAGCGTGGAACCACCTATAATCGATGTTGTTCCCAGGTGGTAGCACCTGTTAAAATCTCAGCTATGGGCAAATATTGACCCCCTAAAAAAACAGCAACAACAAGACACTATTAAAAAATAAAAATAGAAAAAAAATAGATTTTAAAAAAAAAGATTTTTATGTCAAAATACCAGCAATGCATTTTTATTTTAAAAAAAAAGAACATTAAGAACAATGCATATAGTAAAATTAGCAAATTACTTCGATGCAAAAAAAAAGATTCGACATTAAATGACCCATAAGGAGTTGATATACTGTTAAAAAATCGTTATGTATGTGTGTGTGTGTGTGAGAGAGAGGGGGGGGAGAGAGTGTGTATGTGTGTAATAAATCAAACTATTGGTAAATGTTCCAAGTACAACCCTGCCAAAACAAAAGCCTGTCAAATGAAAATCTTGATACAAGAGTAGAAAATAAAAAGAACTAATAACCAAGAAAAACAAAACAAGTACAAAGGACGAGAAAGAAAGCATAAACAGAAAAGGCAGAGTCCTACTCAGCCAATAACCCAAAGTGCTCAATGTCTCTAGCAAATAAGCAAAGAACAGTAACACTAATCAAAGAAAAATAAAACCGGTCCAAATAACTATTCAGAGTTTTATTGTAACGCGATCATTCGTCGATAAAACCAGAGATGGAAACAACCAAATTATTAAATACTTTTAAATAATATATATATATATATATATATATAATATTATATGAAAATATTACGTAACTTTTAAATATCAATTTTATCACAACATCGAAGATTCTTGGCAAAATTTCCAGTCTTCACGAGGTTCCAGTTCTAAACGATATTTCCAATTTTTCGATTTGTTCCACATCTTTTTCAATCAGTTTTTTTCACTACTTTTGCACACGTGTGTATTCATGAATTCACGTATAAGACCGGAACCTTCTGAAGGCTGGAAATTTTACCAAGAAACTTCGAAGTCGGATAAAATTGATATTTAAAAGTTAAGTAATCTTTTCATAGAACATTATTAACGCACTATTTTTAATATTATTTTAATATTTTTAATATTGAGATCTATATATAAAAAATATTTGCTGTTTCAATATAAGGGTGCTGACCTTGAATTGGTAATAATATAAAATGGCATTAGTATATAAATGTTATGTGCACCTTAATACGTTGTCGCTATATTCGTAATAAATTCTGTTGAGTGTTGGTTGATTTTGATATAGAGAGCCTCGAGAATTTGAAGTTTTTGTTTATTATTTTCATGGTGTAATATGTTGGTGTTGTCAACAAGTATTTTCCTGTAGTGTGAAGGTGGACTGGAATGTGTTTTTGATGTTGGGCAATAGAACTTGTATCCGACAAATGAAGTGTAAGTCGTCTTGACAATGTTGTGGTCGTCAAACCAACTTATGTACATACATTTTTGTCAGAGATACAATCTCCCAAAGGACATTTAAACTGATATACAATGTTGTCGTTTCTAATCGACGGGAATGAGTTATTACGTATGATTAAGTCAGTTGTGTTAAATTTAGTATAATATATAATTATATATTATACTATATATGATATATATATATTACACCCGATATATATATATATATATATATATATATATATATATATATATATATATATATATATATAGTGGTGTAACAGCAAAATTGTCCAACTCGGATAACAGCATAACTGTCCATCCCACAAATTGTTTAATACCTAAAAGACCTTAAACTAATTGAGTTTCTTTTTTTTTTCTGGCACCAGGAGGGGAATATATTAATATTTATAAGATGCTTTGGGTCTTTTAAATCTTTTTATAGTTAAAATGCATTTGATTACGGTATAGCAGGTTGATATGTTTAGGGTTACTTGAGGAAGAAATTTGGTGCAAAAGTAGGTATACAGTAACAAAATGTGCATACACAAAATGTATTGATTATGCAAACATTAATAATAATAATAATAATCACTGTATACCTACTTTTGCAGCCCGTGTATACGTATATATATATATATATATATATATATATATATATATATATATATATATATATATTATTAGTTAATAAACTCATACACACACACACACACACACACACACACACACACATATATATATATATATATATATATATATATAAATATATACATATACATACATAACCCTGACACACACACACAGATATATATATATATATATATATATATATATATATATATATATATATATATAAATTCCAAGAGGATAGAATCTAGGTAGAACTCAATTTTAGTTGCTCCCCTCCAACTTTCCCCTTGTTTTACTTTTCTTTTCTTTACTCTCTCTTTCTCATCTTCTGATTTTTAAGTTTAGATTATTGTGCGTAGTGTCACCACAAATGTATAAACCCATTTCCGGTGAGAGTTTTTAAATTAATTCAGGCCAGCGATTCAGTAATGAATTATACATAGGAAAATAATTCAACTTTATCTGTATCTCACTCATTAAAACCGTCTTCAAACTTCTCTTTAAAATTTCTCTCTATCAAATTTTAATCCCAACATTCACTTTTAGGACTTACTGATCTTCTCTCGTCTGTTACCCCTCGCTAGTGCTTTCATTTAACTCTCAGATTCTGCTCCCACTGTCATACATAAACTCTCGCTAAATTTTATTTTTTTATTGCCAGAGTTATTTTTCTGATTTCTTTTTGAATTTGTAGGTCTGATAAATTGGATCGTATTTACGATTCCAATGTAATAAATTATAACCATGGAATCTTAGTGTTTTAAGCCTTTTTATTATATATATATATATATATATATATATATATATATATATATATATATATATATATATATAAATTATTTCTAAAATTTACGCGTTTTATAAGCAAAAAAAATTTCCTTGAAGATCGAACAGCGCTTAGTACTTTAATTCAGTTTAATTCAAATAATTATATTGAAGTTTTCGGCTGTTGTTTTGAAACATGAGAACTCTTATGTAGCGTTTTGGAATCATATTTTTAAATAAATAATTATATTTATGCTCTACTTTTGTATCGAGCACTATTTCTTAAAAATAATAACAAAAATACTAAAGAACTTTGGATTATTTACCTAACGAGTTCTTTCCTATTTTCTATATATTTTTCACACACACACATACACACACACACACACATATATATATATATATATATATATATATATATATATATATATATATATATGTATGTATTTGTCTTCCTCATTATCTGGTCGTTTTAACGTATTATTTTCTTTTTTTTCTGTCTTCCTCCCCCTTTTCTTCTTTATTTCTCTACTGTGCTTTTATTATATCTTCTGAATTTCCTTTTTTTTCTCTTTGTTAAAGTTTTGAATCTTCCTCTCACTCTATTTATTCTCTTCTGCATCAATTGCGTCATTTCCTCCCCCGTTTTCTTCTTTCTTTCTCTCTAAAGAATTTATTTCGTATTTCGCAACAGTGGGAGTGAGTGCTGCTGAAAATTTCTCGAACAAAGGAAAATGTCCTTCCCAAAAAGAATCGGTTGTTTAATCATTTGATCATATCCGAATCGTCTGACGAATTACAATTGCTTAATAACCTGAAAAGGGAAAATTTCAAAGTCGGCTATAAAAATGAACAGAAATAAAACAATGATCATCTGTGATAATTCAGAGATAATATAAGACTCCACGATAATGATCTAGAAGTCCAGAAATATATATTAACTGAGGTCAATTGTAAGGTTGTGGACGCCAATAATGAATCCTGGTAGCGAGGGAGAGCGAGAAGAAAGGACTAGCCATAAACTACAAGAAGGCAGAATGCATGGTCATCCCAAAATGCGATTTGCACGTCCGGGACACTAAACATGTGCGGAGGTTTAAGTATCTAGAAGTGTTGAAACAAAATGGCTATTTCTGTAGTGATTTTATATATATATATTTTTGTAGTGATCATATATATATATATATATATATATATATATATATATATATATACCCAAGTATATGATTGTGTATACGGAGTAAACTCCAAAATTACTATTCTTAAAAGAGTGCTCAATACAGAGTAGAGCAGATATAATTATTTATTTAAAAATCATAACAATCAAGTGTCTTCTGGTGTCTTATCAAGGGATCACTTGATAAAACACCAGAAGTGTTGAAACAAAATGGCTATTTTTGTAGTGATTTTATGACATATTTATGTTATAATTTTTAAATAAATAATTATATCTGCTCTACTCTGTATTAAGAATAGTAATTATTGGTTATTGGAATATACTCCTAATACACCAATCATATACTTGGGTATATATATATATATATATATATATATATATATATATATATATATATATATATATACCGGGGTGTAACAGCAAAATTGTCCAAATCGTGTAATAGTTGGAGATAACTGTCCACCCTACAAATTGTTTAATACCTAAAAAACACTAAACTGAGTTCATTTTTTCCATGTTTTCAGATAAGACGCTTAGCCATCTTGACAGCATTTGTTGTAAGGCCTTCAGTAACAGTACCACTGTTTATACACTGGCTTACATCTTCAAAGTTCATTCATGATTAAGTTTAAAAAGAAGGATCAGTAGAAAGGAAAATAGATTAGGAGGTTACAACAGCAAGAGGGATCATCAATTCAACTTTGAGCAAAATACCTTCTCATTGTTCAAAGAATAATCCAAAAGTATTATAAAAACCTCGGAGAATTCCAGTAATGTATCTTTAATCAGTTCTAAGATACAACAGTTCAAAGCTTATTCTAACAATTCGAACAATACATGTTTTATGCAATTTTGCTTTTACACCCGGTATATATATATATATATATATATATATATATATATATATATATATATATAATTTTGGAAATTTTTTCTTTTTCATTATCCTGAAATTTCTTTCTTTTTTTTATAGCTGATTTCCAATGCTTTTATTCTTTCTCTCCCTCTCTCTGTCTCCCCCTCTCTCTCCCTCACTCCCTCTCTCTCTCCCTTTCCCTCTCTCTCTCTATCTCTCTCCCTCTCTCTCTCCCTCTACCCCTATCTCTCCCTTTCCCTCTCTCTCTCTATCTCTCCCTCTCTCTCTCTCCCTCTCTCCCCCTATCTCTCTCTCTCTCTCAATTTTCCTTTTTGCTCTTGTTCGTACTCCGTCTTTTTTACTCCTTACATCTCATTTCTTTCTCTCTTTTTCATTTGACATTTTAATTAGAATTCATTTCCTCTCTTTTTTTCGCTTTCTTTGTTATTTTCTCCCTTTTCCCATTTTCTTTGTCTCACCAACACAAAACACTTACAGAGCATCGGATCAAGATCTTTACACAGACAGTAATGTTCTATTCAGAAAATGTTTAATAGGAAAACATCAGCCAATCAGAAATCAAGATCAAAATCATTAGCCCAGATACTGAAGAACAGTAAACCTGTTAGTAATAGAACATTGTCTTTTGAAATTTCTAATTATCCAGGCAACCATCTTGTTTAGTTTCTTTCATTTATTCTTCTCTTTTTTCTTTTCTTTTTTTTTATATTTTGTTACCTTTCAAAAATAAAGGGCAGTAAAATTAGTCCTGATGTTGTCGTGTCTCATTTTAATGTCGTTTCATTGACATAAACATCAGGTTTTCAGACCGATATTTGAAGTGATTCCTGGAGACCTACCATAAAAAGTCTTTTAAAACCTCATGAACAACAAATAATTAAAACAAATTAAACCGTTTTTTTTCTGTCAGACAATGCACTTAAGAAATATTATTTTATATGAATATCACCATTTTAGAAGCAGTTTTAAAGTAACATTATTTTGCAGGCTTAGGGGTTTTCTATTGGCACTATTTACATCGTTCGGACTGTTGACCTCATTTTTATTGCCATGTTCACGATGTTTCGACCGTTGTTCACTCCGGCCTTCTTCATGTGATATACGTTGGAATTTTGAACCGAACCCTTTATTTAGTCCACGAGTGTAGACTGTGCTAATTCCACGTGCCATGCCTTTTTATATCTCAGTTTCAGTTAAGTCCCTTTAGTAACTCTACCCTTCAAGTTTTTCTTCCCTTTGCGGTTTAGGCATTGAACTCACAACTCTTTGGGTCAAGTCACTTTTTTTATTATTCATCCAACGCTTTTATCCACTGGGCCATGTGTTCTTGGAGACGTCGTGAATACAGCAATAAAGATGAGGACAACAGTCCGAATAATGTAAATAGTGTAAATATATACAAGACCTCATCTTAGGAATATAGACTGTGAATATGGCAATAAAGATGAGGACAACAGTCCGAACAATGTAATTAGTGTAAATAGTTACAAGACCTCATCTCAAAATTATAGACTTTGAATATGGCAATAAAGATGAGGACAACAGACTGAACAATGTAAATAGTGTAATAAATACAAGACCTCATCTCAGAAATTTAGACTGTGAATATGCCGATAAAGATGAGGAAAACAGTCCGAACATTGTAAATAGTGTAAATAGTTACAATACATCACCTCAGAAATATAGACTGTGAATATGGCAATAAAGATGAGGACAACAGTCCGAATAATGTAAATAGTGTAAATATATACAAGACCTCATCTTAGGAATATAGACTGTGAATATGGCAATACAGATGAGGACAACAGTCCGAATAATATAAATAGTGTAAATAGTTACAAGGCATCATCTCTGAAATACAGACAGATGTTAGCGGTTCTTCTTCAGTATTATATATCCGTGGAATTCTTTCATAATACGAGGAGCTATCCAAAATTTCGGAAAACTTAACATGCGAAAGAGAAAAAAGTAGAATCCTTTATTTACAGGTGGAGCGATTTCTAGATATATAATAATGTCCGGCAAGACACGGGAAACGCTGGTAATTTAATGTATAAACAAACTAATCTATAATTGTGAATGAAAAAAATAGAAAAATAATAATAAATAAAAAGAATCTAAATAAATAGAATATAAAAAATAAAGAGAAAAGAGTAATTCATGAAACTAAAAGTTATAAAGGAAAAATACCATGACAAAGTGGAAAAGGTTTTCGTGGAACACGTTTCGTCCTTGTGAACGTCTTCGAGCGGAAGTGATGTTTATGTTGATGCGACTACACATGCGCACAAAGGAAAAAAAAATTAATATGTGTTTGGCTATATAGTCTAGCCGATTTTTCGGTACTCATGAATTTTGTTATTAAATGTCCAAAATTGTTATAATAGATCTGGCAAGAAATGTGAAATGTAGGAATCTGGACGTAAATTTACTGTGGTTAATATAGCGAATAAAGCACTTTCTATGCATTTCCGTCTTAGTAAGTTGCTTTCTCTTTTGATTAGCGTAGTATTTTTTAAAATCAAAATTATGATCAGATTTGTTACACTGAGCAGCTAATACATTGGGCGTGATGTTTTATAAAAGATCGCTTTGGGGTTCATATAATCATTTATTTAAATTCCTAGATGTTTCACCTACGCATTCCTTTTGGCAATTATTACAGGTGTTAAAGAAAATTCCTCTTCAAGTTTTAGTTTATTATATTGCTTTGTATTAACTAAGTCTTTTATTGTTTTAGAAGTAGTTTTAAGAAATTTTATTCAATTGTATTTTTCACAATTATATCTATCTATCTATCTATCTATCTATCTATCTCTCTCTCTCTCTCTCTCTCTATATATATATATATATATATATATATATATATATATATATATATATATATATATATACACTGCGTGCCAAATTATTATCGAGATAACTTTTTTCTAATATTTCAAAAACCGTCCAATCAATTCACACAAAATTTTTTACACAATGTTGGCAACACTGACCTGGCAATCACTGAAATTTTCGTACTGATCTGCGCAATGTAAACAAACTGGCTCCAGGTCAGTACGAAAATTTCAGTGATTGTGCAGGTCAAACAGCACAAGAACGCAATTCACTCCGCCAAAAATTTGGAAACGGCATCCTGTACTGCTTGACATTCGCGCTGGAAGCTCCAGTACGAACGTTTCAGTGTTTGGGTGATAATTCAAGGACAGTGAAGAGGATTTGGAAAGAGTCGGATGAGTCTAATGGTGATTACGAAGGTACGGCAGCTCGGAAAACTCACTCTGATCGTTCTGATAAGAAAAAAATCCCGAATTGGTTGGTGGGCGACTCAGAATCAACACGGAAACCTACATCAAGTGCCTTGAGGAAGTAGTACTCCCTTGCGTCAAGAGGGTGGCTACTGGAAGACTCTGTGTCTGACATCAGGAATCTGCACCATACCACACAAGTAGGAGAACCCAGTCATGACTGTCAGATAATTTCTGCGACAACACCACCCTTTACACTCTTGCCACCTAACTCTGCAGACTAAAATCCTCTTGATTATGTGTGGGGCGCAGGTGACCAACAAAACTCCTTATAACATCAAAGATGAACTGAAGGCAAGGATTATGGCAGCATTCACCAACTTAAACAAAGAGACCGTCCAGAAGAGTTGCAGGAGATTCCGAAGTCGTCTGAAGGACGCGCTTGAAGCCAATAGTGATTTTATTAAATAAATTACTCTTTAGCATTTAAAGGTAGTTTTGTTTAATTTTCGTTTATATATCGGTTAAAATGAGATGTCAGTGTTATTTTCGTTGTTGCATAATTTAGACGACAATTTATATATATATATATATATATATATATATATATATATATATATGGACCATCTTCGCACAGCAGGTTTCCAGTGAATACATCATGAATATTATGTCGGATTCCAATCTCTTCGCTTTTGAACATAATTCTATTCCCGGCTTATTCCAAACTTGCTTTTATTCAAAGACTATGGTGCACATAAATTATTCATTTTACTTACAGACTAGACTGGCCTCAACCCAATAATTATTGTAAAATCAGTTACAAAAGAGGAATCTTCGATAAAATTCTGATATTTTAAAATTCACAGAAAACACAAGTGAATAGATAGCAGAGAAAAAAAAAGAGGGTAGTTAAAATGCTGATTAGAGCAACAAAGAACAAGTAGATGTGGAGAGTCATTGCCCACATCTGATGAGGTTAGATAGTCAAATTTAAAGACTTTCTTCCATTTATATGAGTTATAAATCATTGTGAGTCTCAGGTTGAAATATCTATCCTTATTCAAAATACTAATAATAGTTTGTTTTTTGGATGTCAGGTTTAACGAAAGGTTTGAGTCAGATCGGAAAGAAATAAGAACGTCACTTCCAAGTGATTTGAGCTGTCGTGCCGACTTAAAGAGTCATTCTTCGTCTTTCAGCTCTTTTAATGAGCATCATCGTATATCGCTACAATACCAAATTCTGTTATGAAAACAATAACTTACATAATAAAATCCGATTTAGTATGCATTTTTGCTACCAAAACGTTATTTTTAGTAGATGCTCGTTTTACAATAAACGGAGCGTCAATTTATTAAACAATATTCGCCTACAGAATCAATATTCTATAAATCTTATAAGATTTTCTTTCTTTACAAATTGCTTCCTTTACGTTAGTATACGAATCTGAGAAGGTATGCATATTTCAAGAGTCAGAGAGATATCTGTGTTTATAGACACTATTCAACTTAGTTTGGCCATCTACGCACTCTGTAGCCGAGAGGCTAAAGCATGTCAGATCTATTAACGATTTTCCCTAGGAGAACGCAGGTTCAAATCCTGCTGCAGAACGCATATTTTTCTTTAATAAGATATATCGAATACTCAGGCCGGTAGACGTAAATAAATGAATATAATGTTTATTAAATAAACGGAGCGTCTACTAAAATACGGGCATCCACTAAAAATAATGTTTAAGTAATAAAAATTTATCAGATTAATAAATAACAAAATCCATCCTCTTTCTTGACATATTCTATATTACAAACGTAATTGATCGTGGATTTTGGGGGTTAAAATTTTGCGTGATTCATTGCTAAATATTCTTTATTCGTGCAATCTGTCTTTCTGTCACTCTTACATTTTTATTTCCGTTTCTGATTTTCATTAAAGACCAATAGACTTATTTTCGCAGACTTATTTATGAGTAACCTCGAAGGCTGACATCTGACTTATTTTATGAAATCACATTCTCGCTATGAAAATCTTGATTTCTTAAAAGAAAATCTTAAATTGATTTCAATATTTTACTTTTCTTTTTTTTATTCTCAAGCCTGAAAGATAGATATGGTTCAAATTTCTTTCTTCATGGCCACTTCTAGAATCTGTTCACTCGATTGAAAAGGTTTAAATGAAAAATAAGCGTCCATCATAAGGAAATAGACGGTTGGCAGTTTGATCTTTATCGTTCTGTTCACTTACAAAAAAGAAAAGAATTCTTTCCACGCATTTATCTCTATCCGGCAGTCTGTTCAAATCTATCTGTTAGTCTAGCTTTGTTAATATAGATCTCTTCATTTCTTTCAGTCGATCAATTATCGAAGTGGAAAGTGAAATCGACGAACCTGGTTCAAATTTCGCCCGTGCCTGTTGCATTATTTTAACGAATGCCTCCAAGAAAGGTATGAACCGATCTCTTTGGTAACCAGTCAAGTCGAAGGAATATTCTGAATTCGTATCTGTGGAAAAGGTAATAGGAAACCACTGTACTATCTTTCCCAAGAAATCATAGCAATTTAGAGAGAAGGAATCTTGGAGAGCGATGATTGACTACGTCCTGAATGGACAAGGTGTTATATATATATATATATATATATATATATATATATATATATATATGAAAAATTTCTCAAAGTTAACCTGTAGAAAAGACAATATTTATAAATGTAAAACCCAAATATTAATCTACACCCAGGCTTTTTCCCTATTTCCCTTTTCTTAACAGAAAAGAAGATGGATGAATCCGCCAACGCAAAAATAAAAAACAATATCTCCACACAGTAATTGACGTAATTTTCAGTTAATAATATGAAAATAGCGTTCTCTATATTCTTCCAGTTGCTAAAGACATTTTATTTAGTTATTATCAGTTACTTTGTTTAATAAATTCATTTCGTTTTACCTTGAAAAATGTCCACATTGGACAAAACGCGTCAGCTACCATTACAGTTTTCCTATTGTCTTTTACATTTACATATATATATATATATATATATATATATATATGTGTGTGTGTGTGTGTGTGTGTGTGTGTGTGTGTGTGTGTGTGTATAAATATAAATAAATAAATATATATATAATTATTTATATATTATATGCGCGGTTCTTATTAGAAAGCGCTCAATATCAGAGATAGAGCTAACATATTTGGTTGGATTGATGTGAGTTTGTGACCCTGGGTTTCAAGCTTTTGCGATCATCAGACAAACTGATTAATTTTTTTAAATTTTGGGTTTATGTAGATTGCGTGTATTGGTGTTATTTTGGAAGGGGGAAATCGTCGTCGTGATGTCATCGTGCTAACGCAAACATAGATGTATGTTCATACGCCCAATGAAGTACGCAGACACGCATACACACTTAAACATATGTGGACAGTTTCGGATTTGACATATGTATGTATACGGGTGGTGTTGTGTCTATACATAAGCATTTGTATGTTGAAATTCAAAGATTGGAAGTGTAGCGAAAATTTCTCGTGAATGTATACATGTCAAAAATCAGAGCATTTTTCTATTTTTCCACTGAATAATATTTCTTCGCATGTATGTACATACGTGTGGTGGGGTCTATGTAAAATTATGATAGGTAAAAATTATTATTATTTTTATTTTTAATTTAAAAAAAGAAAAAAAAGTGGTTTATTTGTTATATTGAAAGCTGGTTATTTGCTTGTTTCTGATGACTGTGTATATGTAACTGGTAGAAATTTCAGTTTGTAATCCTTATTGGTTATTTTTATGGTGGTATTAAATATGCTGGGGGAGGGAGTAATTTACGTTAATAATTTTAGCGGGTTTATATGATAATAGTAGATGTGATGTAATAGTAATGTTGTAATTGGATTGGTGACAATGATAATATAAGTAGCTAATAGTTATTGTAAATTGGTAGAAGTGATTAGTAATGGTGGTGGGAGAATGATAAAAACAATAAATGTAATTATATATGTATGAGTCCCGACGGACGACCAAGTGTATATGTGTGTCTGCGTACCTCATGAACATGCATCTATGTTTGCGTTAGCACGATGACATCACGACGACGATTCTTCCCACTCCCATAATAACACTAATACACGCAATCTACATAAACCCAAAATTTTAAAAAATTAATCAGTTTGTCTGACGATCGCAAAAGCGTGAAACCCAGGGTCACAAACTCACATCAATCCAACCATATATATATATATATATATATAGATATATATATATATATATATATATATAGTCATTAGTCATGAAAACACTCCAACGAGTGCACAGGATCGCCTCGTCAGTGATGTTATGACTTGGAGTCATGACAAGGGCTGGGTCTTGCAACATCATACTTGTTCGCCCAAGAGACCCTACTGAAAAAGTACTATTCCAGCAGGCAATCCCGAAGCAAAAAAGTCGCCAAGCACGCAAGAAATGGACACATTAAGTAACTGCCACTGCTAATCTTGAAATTAAAGGCGACCAATCATTAACGACTTACGTCACTTCCTCCTCAGCCAACACGATACAAAATAAGAATAGACAGTATATATATATATATATATATATATATATATATATATATATATATATATATATATATATATATATATATACATGGAACCTCGGTTCACGAATTTAATTAGTTTCTGAAGGCCGTTCGTAACCCGAAATATTCGTAAACCGAAATAGGAGTCAATGTAGAGAAAAAACGTCACAGTACAATAAAATTGGAAAAGAAAAGCACGGTACAACACACGAATATATACAACATGGCGGTCGACTCAGAAATTATTCCGTTCGGGTTAATTCGGTCTGATAAGGTTGTTCGAGAACGGAAATTTTGTTCGATAAGCGAGGAATTTTAATTTAGAATTTTCTGTTCGCAAACCGATTTGTTCGCCATGTGAGTCGTTCGAGAATCGAGGTTCCTCTATGTATTAATTTCTTTGTATCTGTCTATGAACGCAACTGAATTCATACTTATTCCTCTCTTCCTTTCTTCCAATATGTTCACACCTATCTATCTTTTTAGATCATTTCACCCAAAGTAAAGCTATAAAAGGGTTACTGAGTATGAAAAATAAGAAAAAAAGGAAACCTTATTGATCAGCGAGAACGTTAAAAGAAGAGAAATCGAGAAGACAATAAATAAAGACTGACATTGCGTTTAAACTTGTGAAGTTCACAGTTGGCCGGAAGTATGTTCCAATGGCGAGAAAATAAACTGTTAGCAAAGAACGTACGGTTACATCTAGTCTATTCAACTGTAAAATAATGAGACCTTGTTACAAATCTAGTACTGCGTTCAAATTCATAAAGTTTAGTTACCAGAGAGGAAAGTACCTCAAAACAATTACCATGAAATTATTCATAGAAAAGACACAGGGGAGCTACATTATGACACTGGTGAAAGTCACTGAAGACAAGACATTCTTACTAGCAGACCTACCAATTGATTTAATATAATCTTTCCACTTCATTTCAGTAGAGAATGTTAGCCCCAAAAGATGAGGCTAGGGTCAGCCATGCTGACGGAAGGCAGAAAGGGACTCTCAGATGATTAATAGAGAGCAGCTTTATTTTGGAGGCATTGAAATTAACAAGCCATTGCTTGTCTCAGTTAACAGCAGATCATTTTGAGATCTGTTGTCAATTTTACCATAACGAAACGTTCAGATCTATCTATCTATCTATCTATCTATCTATCTATCTATCTATCTATCTATCTATCATCACAGTCTGTTCATATCTATCTGTCTATCTATCTCAATCTATTCATATCTATCTATATATTTATCTAGCTAGCTGTCTATCTCAATCTGTTCATATCTATCTAGCTCGCTAGCTATTTATCTATCTATCTCAGTCTGTTCATATCTATCTATCTATCTATCTATCTATCTATCTATCTATCTATCTATCTATCTATCCTAGTCTGTTCATATCTATCTATCCTAGTCTGTTCATATCTATCTATCTATCTATCTATCTATCTATCTATCTATCTATCTATCCTAGTCTGTTCATATCTATCTATCCCAGTCTGTTCATATCTATCTATCTATCTATCTATCTATCTATCTATCTATCTATTTCAGTCTGTAGTGTAGTCAACTAGTGCATTGTCGGGGTAAAGCAGCCATGATTTCTTCTGCCACAAATGCATGTGAAAGAATTCAATGGTTACAGAAAGCTAAGATTACAGTTATAACCTCTCAAGATACAATGTTAGATGATGACCCAATCCGCTTATGCCTCTTTCACCCATAACATACACAGTCCCGTTACTTTTCAGACAGACATCCTATTCTGGGTTATTCTAAAATCCTTCACAAGATAAATCAAGTTTTTCCTTACCGGTCAAAAAGATATTTGTACCATACCTAATCAGATGTTTTTGTGTAATCTACGAAGCAAACCTATCCGTCCCTCTGGATCTGTGTTGCTTGCTCCGATCCTTCCTAACGGGTAGGTCCCTGAACGTATTTGTTAAGGTCAATTCAACTAGGTCCAAAGGATCAAAGCATACGTCCCCTAAAGCTCGCTTCTCAGCCTAACTCTCTTGTTACTGTGCATAAATGATCTGCCCAAGAACAGTGAGGGCGTCCTAAATTTCCACACATTAAAAGTGTCAACAGCAAAGTCTCTATGGACTTCGGTGTTCTCCTAGATCGTCTAGCATTGTTTGGTCCATACTCTGGTATTGTGATTTGGTCTGCGTTAGAAGTGGTTTGCCTTTGATCTTGTAGCACTTCTTTCAAGACTTCCATTGGATGATCAGTTGGAAGCACAGAAACATTGTCCCTCTCATCGCTAGGTTCGTAGTCCTCCACAGAAGCGTAGCGTGGACGTAGCTATTCCCAGTGTCGTCTTCATACTGGTCCATGAGAAAAAAAAACCTTGACTTTGATGCAACGAGTACTCAATGACTTCGTGACGACTGCTGGTAACCATCGTTGACAGAATTAATCTTTGTCTAAGAGATTCATCTTGTAGATCGGTGATCGAAGGTAAGTCGCAAGTAGCAGAGTCTTCATGTATACACGCTGCCAGCTCCGGAAGAGTTTCGCCTGGCTTCCGTTGCATGTCACTCCAGATATTTGAAACGTTCTTGCACAATGAATTGTTTTGAGTTAAATTGTTCTTTCATAAAGTTGACGATTTCCTCCATCGACAACTCATTAATATTCTTAGGCGGATTCTGTTGAATAGCCAAATTCGACAGTTGTTTATAGATAGTAGCAGTTTGATTCATCAAAAAAATCTGAGCCTTGCTCTGAGCAGGCACAACAAGAGTGCAGAATCTTGACCAGTAATCAAACCACAGTTCCGATGTCGGATCAAAAGCAACAAAAGGTGGGATAGCAGCTGAAGAACTTGGAAGACGGGAAATTGGACTGGAATTAATTTCGGAAGATTTAAATCAGTCTTATCAAAGCTTCCAACACTCGAGCAGATCCTTCCCACTGATTTGTGGAACCGACTCCCAAGAGGATGCTTCCCGAATCACTACAATCTTAACTTGCTCATGTCTACCGTTATCCTACACACATATCCGCATAGGCTGCGCATCTTAATCTGTAACTCTACCTCGTGTTACCCTCGGACCTTGTACAGGAGAAACAATATTGAACAAAAAATGTAGATAATAGAGGTAATGAGTTCACCTCCCAAAATCAAGAAGCCTGACAGCTGATCTCTCTTCTGACCGAGCTCTAACAGTTCAATGAAGGACAGACCGGCTTGTAACTTTCAGTATCTCCAAAATCAATATTGTAACGTTTCATCATTATTGATCAATTCCAATCAATTTTCTCCAGTCATAATGATCGGTTGATGTTCTTTGTTTTGAAAGCCTATTCGGACTCAGAGACCTCAAAGAGAACTCATATATACAATGCACCGCTAAACATTCTAGATAAATGATCGACTCCTTGTATCGCCCCAGGAAATACCTGATTCCTTCTGCAATGCTTTACCATTACAAGACTCAGATCAGACCACAAAATGGAGTATAGCTGCCATATCTGGGTTGGAGCTGCTTAATCCTCACTTTCCAGTCAGTTCAAAATCGTTTATGCGGGGAAGAGGTGATTTATTTACCACCCTAGATCCTCTTTTCCCATAGACACAAGTTTTTGCATCGCTATCGATATTGGTCATCAACGCTCCAATGTTTAGTGCCAAAAATCTCAATCGCTTGCAGCTAAGATCCGCCTTGCTACATCCACAGATTTGAATCACCGTCATTCCCTAAGTATTCCTTTGGTAAGTAGGACATTCCACTAAGGAAGACTCTTCACCGTCCTGGGCATGACGATAGACTGCATCCGCGTCCTGGATAAGACGATAAACTACGTCCAACAGCAAGGCTTCTGATCAGGAGGTTTTGAGGAGCGTGGAACCACCTCTTAATTGCTGGTGTTCCCATGTCCACCCTGACCCGGGCTGGTAGCACCTGTTAGGGTCCCAGCTATGAGGAAATAGTTAACCCCGAAACTGGGGTCAAAATACTATGAAAGTGCAAAAATAGGTTTTAATACCACAAATACTTTGTAAAAAAAATTATTATCAGCAATACATTTTTGAAAGACAAATATTACCAGCGAAGGAAAATTCTTACGAGAAATAGATTTTTGAAGGAAAAAATATTGCCAGGAATAGATTTTTGGAAAAAAAATATTACCAACGATGAAAATTTTGTCGGCCTTAAATAACCCTTTGAAGTTGTTATGCCGTAAAACAAACCAAACAAAACCAAATCTTTTTTTCTTCAAGTCTCGAGACAATTGTTATCTATCCGCCATATTCTTGTAATCTTTCCTTTGTAAAGAGTATTCCAATAACTTGGACCGATTTGAAATGTGAAATAATTTTAAGCGATTTTTTTTTTTTCAGATTAAACAACGTATGTTTTTGGCAATTTTAATTACAGATAGATTAACAATCAAACAACATGTTAATGTTATTGAAGTCTATTACGAAAATGGATTTATTAAATGAGAAGTTCCCAGGTCGCATCATTTCTCGAAACAGCGAAGTCAATCGGCCACCACGATCGTGCGACTTGACGCCTTTAGATTTCATCCTTTGAGGTCATCTCAAAAGTAAGGTCTATGCTAACAAGCCAACGACATCTCAACAGCTGAAGGATGAAATAATAAGGCATATTGGTGAGAGAGGAGCAACTATGCAGAGACATCATCAAAAATTTTGGCCATCCAGTGGAGGTCTGCCGGCGAAGCCCTGGCGGACATTTGGGCAATATTATGTTTTACATATAATTGCCATGACATAAATAACATGATCCAATAGAGAAATAAATAAATTTTCACTGATTTATTTACTGCTGACTTTCTGTCTTGGAGTAACAAGGCGCATCAGAGGTTTCACGTACGATTTCATTTTCAAGTTTGTTTTTTTCACTGCACTTTCTTCTGGGTTTCACGCCCTTTGCAATCGTCAGACGATCTCAAAAGGGCGTGCAACCCAGGGTCACAAATTCAAATCAATGCAACTAAATATGTTAATTCTGTCGCTGATAATGAGCGCTTTCCAATAGGTATCGCGCTTATCTAATATATAGATGATATATATAAAAATTACACACACACATATATATATATATATATATATATATATATATATATATATGAAGAAATATAGTCTTAAGGTGAGCCATATTTATGGGATAAAGTGCTCAATATCAGAGATAGAGCGTGTGTAAATATAAAAAGTGAACATAGAAGTCAACACTTAGAGGCGACAGTCTGTTTCATGCTAGATGGCCTGACGATTGCATATAGCATGAAACAGACTGTCGCGCTCTAAGTGTTGACTTTATGTTCACTTTTATATATATATATATATGTGTGTGTGTGTGTTTGTGTGTGTGTGTGTGTGTATATATATATATATATATATATATATATATATATATATATATATATATATATATATGTATATATATATATATATATATATATAATTTTGTATAATTTTATATATCAACAAACAGTATTTAGAAAAATATGACAAACTGGAGAGATTTTTTTGTGACGCGTTTCATCCGTTAGGATCTTATCGGACTGGGCTTTGTTGACGTTGCCACGTCAGCACATGCGCACGAAATGAGAGACGTTGGTAGTTTCAAAATTTTTGAAAGAATATTTTTTAAAAGAAATTTCTTTTTTTTTCAATCTAGTCTAAATCATCTGCATTCTTTTTCTTTTTCTATCCACCATCTTTGTTCCTGATTGTCCCACACTGTGACAATATAAATTCTACCAAGAATAGTGATATATTGTAAGAACCTGGACGCAAATTCAAATTTATTGTGGCTGAACTAGCGATCAAGGCACTTTCCATACACACACACACACACACACACACACATAGCACCTTTTTCTGTTTAGCAAGGCAGGAAACATTTGAAGTAATGCTACGTTTAATGGATCAAGTTTCTGGCAATAAACGATTGCGATGATAGCCTTTCCATATTCCATTAACTCGTAATGGACGACACCTTCCATCATCCGCCAGGCACAATGTAAGGACATCAGTGGATACAGCACTTGTTTGGGTGTTGTCATTGCTTTCTCACTTTCTGTTAACTATTCACTTTTATCGTTTTCTGTTGATATACAAAACTCATTTCTCTTCGCATGCTCAATGTTTTTAAACCTTTTAAACCAAAGCGGGCATGTACGAGTTTCGTTGCAGGCGTATACACTGCAGAAATGTTTATAGGGATTTTCCAAGCGTAGCTTAGATGAGACACAAGGCCGAAAGTAGGGGGCACCCAGTGAGGATCGAACTCACTACTCAGTCGTAATTATTCTAGCTAGACAAGCTTGCTAACCATTACACCGTCTCGAGGTGCACAATTGATTTTCCAAGCGTAGCTTAGATGTGGCACAAGGCCGAAAGTAGGGGGCACCCAGTGTGGATCGAACTCACTACTCTGTCGTAATTGATCCAGCGAGACAAGCTTGCTAACACCGCCTCGAGGTGCCCCTGCAGAAATGTTTTGTATATGAGGTTTGTTTTTTGAAATAGCCCACCTTGGGAGCCACAGACTTCTTTCATTGTTGTTGCCGTACTTGGATCTCATTGATG